GTGCTTGAAAAAATATATGTTATTTTTCTCTTTTTCTTTTGATTCTCTAGTTCAATAGAATTTGAGGAAATGATGAACATAAACTAAATGAGAGTGCAGCTGTTTTACGAGTTGGTAGCAATGTAGTAAAATGAACTTTATTTATTATTACTTCAGTATGCTTGTGACTGTTTTCCAATGAATTAGATTTTTCTGTTTAAACTATTTGAGTTGTTAGTCTTCTCTTTTTCTCTGTGAGTATATTAGCACAACACTTAGAGATTTCATGGTTCTTGTTTGATTGTGCTTTATGTGTTCAGGTATGTTAACAGCATCAGCATCGGCTCGTGAACCAATATTCAGGACAATTCCCTTGTTCATGTAGCGAAATCAAATTTAGCTGGGAAGGTTTAACCACTATCATTGGAGATAATGTTCCGTCGGTGAGTAACAGACAATCACCTTTGAAATGTCACAAGGCCCTGCATGGAGTTTTTTCTTGAAGGCTTGAATTCATGATTATCGTTTTGGAATCGACAGGTCACAGTCTGTCTTACATGGATGTACTGTTGAAGATAGCATTTGTGGGTATGGGTGCAACCTTACTGGATGGAGTCATGTTGAGAAGCATGCCATGTTTGCTGCTGGTGCTCTTGTAAGGCAGAATACCAAAATTCCTTGTGAGAGGTCGGTAAACACTTCTAGTTATTTCAGCCAAAATTCCTCAAAATTATAATTATTTAGAGAACTTTTGATGTTTGTATTAGTGGAGTAAATGAAAAAATTTATGGTTTAAAGATTCTTAAGAATATTAGAATGTAAAGCTATGCAATAGCTACATTAAGTTGCTTAGGCTAAGGGCCAAATGTAGCTTGGATACTTTTTGGTGAACTATGACTTAGTTATGTTGAATCTGGAACTAATAATTCAATTTGAAAACAATAGTGTGTAATATGCATATCATTGGTTATAGGATACCTAATAATAAGACTGTGGTAATAAGTGCTGCCCGTGCCTCATTTGGTCGCTGATTTAATCCAAGTGCCTTTTCTTTGATATACATCCTGGTGTTATTTCTTTCCCTCTTCTTTTTCCAAATGTGCTTTTTCACTGATCATAATATGTCTTTTGCTCGTGTCTGTGAAGTTGATACCCCATTCGATTGGCAGAACTAGTTGTTCCTGCTTTCCCTTGTTTCACATGTTGAAATAATGTTTGGAAACTCAGGTTTCACATGGAAATCCATGAGTTTTAGGCCTAGCAATAGTAGTTAGTTACTTCTCCCAGCTGGTATTAGACAGGCTGAATAACTACTCTCATTGTTTGTTTTTATAGGGTTTTGAAAAATCTCATAGCAGCAACATCCAGAATGCTTTCTTAAAGCTAGCTGATTTAGTAGTTTTTTATGTAATTATTAATCTTGAGGTTGATGCAGTAGATTTAGCCTACTGGATGGCTCCACAAGTTTTGAGCAGAATTTCGCTTTAATTTTGTGCAGTTGGAAGTTTTGTTAAGCTAAAGCTAGTCATAGTTAGTAAAATCTTTCATTTTCGGTTACTTATGGAAATTACGTTCGGAGAATAAACCTAAGGCCTTTATACTATGCTTGTTTCTTAATTCTTATAATGCGCTGCATGGACAATATCTCTGATGAAGACTTTGATTAATAGAATTTAATAAATTAATAAAAGTATTAGCGAAGGTGCTGTTCTCATTATGAAGAACATGAAGACACGTACCGCAGAAAACAGAAGTCGATATAAATAATCATAATGGATTTGAAATTTAATGAATTAATATAGGGATAGGATTAGGACTCTTAATTATTACTGTCAGATAAACGAAGTCAATATACTGCGTGGGTTCCTGTTAGGATCTCACTCCCCCAAGTGTGGTACTTGCATAGGGGCTTCCACCATTAGGCCTGTCTTTTGGGTTAGGCTCTCCCTTGGGTTTGAGTTCTAACATTGGTGCTTTTTGTTGAGAGTTGGGCTGCGGAAAGGGCTACCTATAGGCTAAATTAAAGTGCAGTGTGCTCTCCTTGTGAAGGGGTGTTCATCGAATAACTGATAAGTGAGTAAAGCCACCCAAAGGGAAAGGGTTACCAGTGGTCAGTGTCAATAGAGCGAAAGTCACCGTGGACGTCGGCTCTTAAGAGGGGTGCAATGTTAGGATCCCACATCGGGATCTCATACCCACCAAGTGCGGTACTTAAGCCTAGGGGCTCTCCCACCTATCAAGCCGGTCTTTTGGATTGGGCTCTCCCGGGTTTGAGTTCTAACACTCCCTTTCCTACCGCTAGTGAAATCACACTCCATGGTGAACATTGGTTTTGCTCATTTAATTTCTAATTTGACTTGAAATTGCAGCTTCTATTCCAAAATGACCATGGCTGGAAATTAGAGTTATTATGATTCGAAATTGTTGATAAACAAATTTTTACTGGTTGCAGGTTTGGGGGTAATCCAGCGAGGTTTTTAAGGAAGCTCACAGAAGAAGAGATGGCCTTCATCTCCCATCAGCCTTAAATTATTCCAACTTGGCCCAGGTTCATGCAGCGAAAAGGCAAAGAGCTTTGATGAATTGAGTTTGAGAAGCGCGTTCGCAAAATATGCTCACGTGATGAGGAGTATGATTCAATGCTTGTGTTGTTCGTGAAACACCTCAAGAGCTTATCCTTCCTAATAACATTATGCCCGACAAAGTGCCGAAAACGGCTTAAAGGTGATTATCCTGGGTAGGTTTCTTCTCTTGAAATTCAAAGTCCTGGATATTTTGTCAAGTGCTGGATTTATAGAAATGGGTGCTTTTCTATTCCAATAATTTTTGGGAGCATGCCAAAATGCAGAGGTCAAATCTCGGTGATTTCAGGCTAAATGGTTTGCTCATTCACTTGGTTTTAGAAACTACATTTTCCTCTTTTGAGAGAGTATTCTATAATGGAACGTATGTTCTGGGTGTTTTGGTCAGCCAAAACAGTCTAATTTATTTGTACTTTAGAGCGCAATTGCTTTGCATTTTTTCCAGAAATAAAAGTGCGATTCAAACATTTGGAGCATGCAATCGGGTGCAGAGAAAGCTTTAGAATTCAATAATGCTATAAAACTGTTATAATGTTACCCTTGTAATTCCCATTGAAGACAATCTACCAACCTCAATCATCTTCCCATTTACAGGTCCTGCACAAACATCCAGAAGGATAAATTAAAACAAGACACATAAATTTTTCTCAAGAGCCCATATAAAATTAGTGTTGAAAACAATGAGTTGAAGTGAAAGCTTTAGAATTCAAGAATGCTATATAATTGGTGTTGTTACTCTCGTAATAGTCATTACAATCGCTGCAGATAAGGCTTTAACTCAAGAATGAAATGAAACTAGTTACCGTGTAATAGCAATTACAATTGGTTGCAGAGAAAGCGGTAATTGGCGTAATGTGCTTCTCAACAAGGTGAAGGGGCAAATAAAAAACCTTAGCTATAACAGTATATTATCCCAACCGTGGTGTGAAACTGAAGTTGATCTTAAAACCTTTTACAGAACAGCGAAAGGAGAATTAGTTGGTAAACATCTTTGAAATCAGCTTACTTATTAAGGAGTAATGTATACATTAGAACAGAGCTGTCAAGGACCGGTCTCAAGCAGGCCCGGGTCTAGGCCCATTTGGGACTGGTCCCTTTGGACCAGTTACCCATGAGCAGTTCCAGGATCTGGACTGGTCTTGGGCCTGCAAAATTTCATTTTTCCCTTATCTTTTTTATATTTTAAGAGCGAAATAAATTATATAGGAGCAGATGAATATTAATTATTTTTTATTGAATAAATTTTAACACAATGTTGAACATTTTTTTTTTAAAAATTGGTTGTCTGGACCAGTTTACGCATACCTTAACTAATCCTTTGGGATCCTGAATAAGAACTTCAGTGATTACTCTTATTTAAAATTAGGAATACCATGTTGAACTTGTTGGCCACCTATTTAAAATTAGAAATACCAACCATGACATTACTTTTATGACCAAGCTGATGCCATATGGTATGTTTTGACATCTCTGATTAAGATACGTTTGACAAATAATAGTATTAAGTATTAACAAAAAAATTATTACGCTTATTTCAAAAGATATATTATTCATTCAAGCTCAAAAAGATATGTTGTCCATTCAAACTTTTTAGATTTAATGTTTTTAAATTAGTGTTAATTTTTATTTTGAGTTACTGTAGTTTAATAGTTGCATTGAATAAAGTTTTATTTTTAATTTTTCATCATTTTTTGAATTATATCATTATTATGAATTTATTATTATAAATTATAATCAAATTAAATTAAATACAAATAATCAAATTTAATGTGATTTTTGGTGTAAAATTTAATATTCAAATTAACTTAATAAAATAAAAAAATTAAAAAAAAATTAATGGTGCTACAATGCCACACCAAAATGGCGTGGCGCTTAACGTTGGGTTGGAACAACAACCCACACCATTTTAGTGTTTTTTACACCAAAATGGTGTGGGTTGGAGAAGGCCTTACATACTAAATTACATCCTCTTAATTAAATTACTACTGAATTACATACTGAATTACATCCTCTTAATTAAATTACTACTGAATTAAATTTGTACCAGAATATAAATAAATTCTAAATTTCTGATGGCTTGAAATTTGTGAAATAAGTCTTATTTATTTTCTAAATTAAATCATTTTATATTTATTTAAACGAAGGATTATTATCATAGACGTCTAATTTTAAAGGTTTTTTTTTAAATTTAATTGGTACCGATTGTTTTTAAAAAAACATCACATACCTTTGAAAAATCAATTTATCCTTAATTTAAATGAACAAATTAAAACAATACAATAGCTTAAAGAAAAACATACGTGTCAGGAAGTGGTTAGTAATGTTAGGAACTGTAACAAAAGTAACTGTAGAGAAAGGTCCTTCCCTAGTCATTCTGAAGGAGAGCTAACACACAGTCCCTGCCTGCATTTAGAGATAGTCCACTCATTTCGTAGCCTTCGTTTCTCAGCTGAAATTCAGTACCTTAATCTGCATTTCTTCTCTAAATCAGAACCATCAGTCTGAGCTTAGACTATGGGAACGTTAGGGAAAGCAATCTACTCCGTCGGATTTTGGATCCGAGAAACCGGTCAAGCCCTTGATCGCCTTGGTTGCCGCCTCCAAGGCAATTATTACTTTCAAGAACAACGTAAGTCTCAAAAATTTCTTTAAAGCTTTTCTCGATTTTCTTTATCTTTCTCATGTTATTGTAGTTTATGACTTAGAACCCCATGTTTTTGCGTTTTGAAATTTCTTTTCGGATCAGTAAACAATGAATTAATTTTGGATTCCTGCTGTTTGGGACTTAAAATGTGATTGCTGCTGTTTGGGACTTAAAAAATGTGATTGTTCTGTTTTATTGATTGTTGTTGATTGTGATTTTAGATTAGGTATGGATGATCATGTATCGTAACACCATGTTTAGCGGTCTGCTTGGTTTCTCAGAAGTTAAACATTTCCTTAATGGTTTATGTTCTCATTTTGGCTCTTTCTTCACTTGGTAAGATTTAACGCATGGAAAGGAATTTATGTATCTCGAATGGTGGTGGACTGTTTGGTAATTGTAAATGAGATTGTAGAGAAATGGAATAGGGGTTTGTATTGGATGGTTTTCAAATTCCACCTGGGAAGGCGGATAATGCCCTAGATATTTTGTAGCTTTTATTTCGTCTATTTTATGCTGAATTTTTGGATTCATTTTTATTAAAAACTAAGATTTTAGATCGAGTTGTTATTAACTTTGACAGTTTGGCTAAACTATGTACATGGGTTTCTATTATTGTTATTAGTAACTAATGGTTTAGATTAGTAGGGATTTTGTAATGCCCGTGTTTACACTCGGGGACTATAATTTTTTCTGTATGACTATACAACAGTTAAATCTGGAAGAAGCTATGGCCTCTAGCCGGCCTCCTTTTCTGAGGTGTTTGGTTTTTTTTTGAGCAAATGGCCATTTAGTTATTCATGTTCCTTGTTTCCTAAACTCATATACATGTGAACTAATACTCCTTTCTTTTCTAAATATACTTCTCTTATGAATTCTAAGCCGGGAATTTTGTCAAATGCCATATATCAAGATCATATTTGCCTATTTGTACACGAAGTTCTTTATTAAGTCTCATTTGGCTTATTTGTAACTGCACCTCAATTTCATTTGTGAGGTCTAATACATTTTATACTGATTCTTGCTTTTGGTTATGGAAGTGTCTAGGCATCGGACTCTCATGAACATATTTGACAAAGCTCCTGTAGTTGATAAGGATGCATTTGTGGCCCCTAGTGCATCTATAATTGGTGATGTTCAGGTGGGCAGAGGTTCATCCATTTGGTATGGGTGTGTTTTGAGAGGTAAGCCAGCATTTTAATCCCATTAGATGGAAATTCTTAAATTTGTTTCCCCCTTCTTGTTGAGATCTTAAAAAGTAGTATGCAAAATCATAATTTCTGAATTACATTTCCTACATCAGTATGACTATCAATTACATGCTTTTTGAGTTTCATGCTATAAAGAGATATTGATTGAAGTGGGAACTTAACTCTATAGGAAATATGGATTAAAGAATTATGGTTTCTGTTGATGAGGACATTCTTAAAGATTTGATTTTTGACCAAGATGCTGGACATAAGTAAATGATGGATTAATTATCATATAACCTTAAGCCTCAAGATAATGGATTAGGTAAACAAGTGTACTAAGTTTACATGTTAAGCATTTTAAAAGTGGTAAATAATAGAAGTGAGATGCTGACCCCTAATCTTTCCCAAATAATCGCTTAGATAGTAACTATTGAACTTTTAGTCAAACTCTCCCAAGAAGTGTTTAAACTCTATCATTTAACACCCCAATTAGTCACTCCATTAATATTCCGTCGAGGATTCTATTTGAAATTGTTATACAATTTTTTCTCTCTCCTTCCCCTACCCTTTTCTCTCCTCTTCATCTGAAACACACTGCTGCAGCACATACCCCCAACCCCACCACCATAAACATTGTAAACACCCTAGCAAACTACCCATCCCCCACCATTAACACCATTCGCAACCACTTGTCACCTCTGCTTACCCCAATCATGGACTCCTACCACAATACACCCTTTCGCAGGCCCCCACCGCAACCCACCCCTTCATAGCTCACCCCCATCACACAGCACCTCCACAAATCCAGTACATCTCACCCCTCTCCTTACTGCTCTCCCTCACTCCCACAGCACCCTTCACAGATTTGATCCTCATGGATGTTTTAAGTAGGCTGTATTTTAGAAATAAAAGAGATTTTATTTTTCAGGCGTGTAAAATCATTTGTTCCGGTGTTATTTGAGTTTGTTGCGGTGGTTAATGGGTTTGTGTTAATCTGAGACAAGTTTGTGTAAATTGAGGAGATTTTTGGTGGCTGTGTTCACTTTGTTGGGGTGATGGAGTTTTGGTTGTGTTTGACTTGGTGGTGCTAAGGTGGTTGTCGGGTGATGAACATGCAGGTTTGCTTTAGTTTTTTATTTTGTTTAATAAAAGTGAAAGCACAATTTTATCCATGTGGTCTTAACAGAAGGTTAACAAAGTTACCATTAAGTGTGGTTGGTGATTGATTTTAAATAGTTTAAAGAGGAGTTTGATTAAAAATTCAATAGTCACTAGCTAAGTACTTATTTTGGAGAGATCAGGGCTGGTAAGTGATTTTCTCTCATGAGATGGTCTCACTTTATTTTTGGAAATATTTCATCAAGTTACTTTATTTGAATCTTTCAATTATAAACATTATTCTGTGCCCTTAATAAACATTAAAAAACTGTAAAATAAAAAAGAGTGTTGGGAAACATCCTCTGTGATTGGTAACAGGAAACTGGTAATGGTTTCTTTATTGATTGGTAATATTACTGGTTTACGACAATAAAAAATACAGAACTAAGAATGTTTACTTTTATTGGAAATTGGATAAAAATGTGTTAATTCGTAAATCTCTTCCTGGAGTATTCGAAATGCATTCTGATGTTGAAGAGGTGAATACCGTTAGATTGTTGGACAATTAGTCCTAAAAATCTTTGGTACTAGAATATCGGTGTTAGCATTACTAATTCCACTGGTGCCTTACTGTGAGATGATGAATTTTGTGCTCAAGTCAATGTGCAATTGCATGAGTATAGACTTGAAGTTTAAATCGGTGCTTGAAAAAATTATATGTTATTTTTCTCTTTTTCTTTTGATTCTCATAGTTCAATAGAATTTGAGGAAATGATGAACATAAACTAAAATGAGAGTGCAGCTGTTTTACGAAGTTGGTAGCAATGTAGTAAAATGAACTTTATTTATTATTACGTCAGTATGCTTGTGACTGTTTTCCAATGAATTAGATTTTTCTGTTTAAACAATTTGAGTTGTTAGTCTTCTCTTTTTCTCTGTGAGTATATTAGCACAAGCACTTAGTAGATTTCAGTGGTTCTTGTTTGATTGTGACTTTATGTGTTCAGGTGATGTTAACAGCATCAGCATCGGCTCTGGAACCAATATTCAGGACAATTCCCTTGTTCATGTAGCGAAATCAAATTTAGCTGGGAAGGTTTTACCAACTATCATTGGAGATAATGTTACCGTCGGTGAGTAACAGACAATCACCTTTGAAATGTCAACAAGGCCCTGCATGGAGTTTTTTCTTGAAGGGCTTGAATTCATGATTATCGTTTTGGAATCGACAGGTCACAGTGCTGTCTTACATGGATGTACTGTTGAAGATGAAGCATTTGTTGGTATGGGTGCAACCTTACTGGATGGAGTCTATGTTGAGAAGCATGCCATGGTTGCTGCTGGTGCTCTTGTAAGGCAGAATACCAAAATTCCTTGTGGAGAGGTCTGTAAACACTTCTAGTTATTTCAGCCAAAATTCCTCAAAATTATAATTATTTAGAGAACTTTTGATGTTTGTATTAGTGGAGTAAATGAAAAAATTTATGGTTTAAAGATTCTTAAGAATATTAGAATGATAAAGCTATGCAATAGCTACATTAAGTTGCTTAGGCTATATGGCCAAATGTAGCTTGGATACTTTTTGGTGAACTATGACTTAGTTATGTAGTGAATCTGGAACTAATAATTCAATTTGAAAACAATAGTGTGTAATATGCATATCATATTGGTTATAGGATACATAATAATAGAGACTGTGGTAATAAGTGCTGCCCTGTGCCTCATTTGGTCGCTGATTTAATCCAAGTGCCTTTTTCTTTGATATACATCCTGGTGTTATTTCTTTCCCTCTTCTTTTTCCAAATGTGCTTTTTCAATGATCATAATATTGTCTTTTGCTCGTGTCTGATGAAGTTGATACCCCATTCGAATTGGCAGAACTAGTTGTTCCTGCTTTCCCCTTGTTTCACATGGTTGAAATAATTGTTTGGAAACTTCAGGTTTCACATGGAAATCCATGAGTTTTAGGCCTAGCAATAGTAGTTAGTTACTTCTCCCAGCTGGTATTAAGACAGGCTGAATAACTACTCTCATTGTTTGTTTTTATAGGGTTTTGAAAAATCTCATAGCAGCAACATCCAGAATGCTTTCTTAAAGCTAGCTGATTTAGTAGTTTTTTTATGTAATTATTAATCTTGAGGTTGATGCAGTAGATTTAGCCTACTGGATGGCTCCCCAAGTATTTGAGTGGAATTTCGCTTTAATATTTGTGCAGTTGGAAGNTCATAGTTCAATAGAATTTGAGGAAATGATGAACATAAACTAAAATGAGAGTGCAGCTGTTATACGAAGTTGTTAGCAATGTAGTAAAATGAACTTTATTTATTATTATGTCAGTATGCTTGTGACTGTTTTCCAATGAATTAGATTTTTCTGTTTAAACCATTTGAGTTGTTAGTCTTCTCTTTTTCTCTGTGAGTATATTAGCACAAGCACTTAGTAGATTTCAGTGGTTCTTGTTTGATTGTGACTTTATGTGTTCAGGTGATGTTAACAGCATCAGCATCGGCTCTGGAACCAATATTCAGGACAATTCCCTTGTTCATGTAGCGAAATCAAATTTAGCTGGGAAGGTTTTACCAACTATCATTGGAGATAATGTTACCGTCGGTGAGTAACAGACAATCACCTTTGAAATGTCAACAAGGCCCTGCATGGAGTTTTTTCTTGAAGGGCTTGAATTCATGATTATCGTTTTGGAATGGACAGGTCACAGTTCCGTCTTACATGGATGTACTGTTGAAGATGAAGCATTTGTTGGTATGGGTGCAACCTTACTGGATGGAGTCTATGTTGAGAAGCATGCCATGGTTGCTGCTGGTGCTCTTGTAAGGCAGAATACCAAAATTCCTTGTGGAGAGGTATGTAAACACTTCTAGTTATTTCAACCAAAATTCCTCAAAATTATAATTATTTAGAGAACTTTTGATGTTTGTATTAGTGGAGTAAATGAAAAAATTTATGGTTTAAAGATTCTTAAGAATATTAGAATGATAAAGCTATGCAATAGCTACATTAAGTTGCTTAGGCTATATGGCCAAACGTAGCTTGGATACTTTTTGGTGAACTATGACTTAGTTATGTAGTGAATCTGGAACTAATAATTCAATTTGAAAACAATAGTGTGTAATATGCATATCATATTGGTTATAGGATACCTAATAATAGAGACTGTGGTAATAAGTGCTGCCCTGTGCCTCATTTGGTCGCTGATTTAATCCAAGTGCCTTTTTCTTTGATATACATCCTGGTGTTATTTCTTTCCCTCTTCTTTTTCCAAATGTGCTTTTTCACTGATCATAATATTGTCTTTTGCTCGTGTCTGATGAAGTTGATACCCCATTCGAATTGGCAGAACTAGTTGTTCCTGCTTTCCCCTTGTTTCACATGGTTGAAATAATTGTTTGGAAACTTCAGGTTTCACATGGAAATCCATGAGTTTTAGGCCTAGCAATAGTAGTTAGTTACTTCTCCCAGCTGGTATTAAGACAGGCTGAATAACTACTCTCATTGTTTGTTTTTATAGGGTTTTGAAAAATCTCATAGCAGCAACATCCAGAATGCTTTCTTAAAGCTAGCTGATTTAGTAGTTTTTTTATGTAATTATTAATCTTGAGGTTGATGCAGTAGATTTAGCCTACTGGATGGCTCCACAAGTATTTGAGCAGAATTTCGCTTTAATATTTGTGCAGTTGGAAGTTTTGTTAAGCTAAAGCTAGTCATAGTTATGTAAAATCTTTCATTTTCGGTTACTTATGGAAATTACGTTTCTGAAGAATAAAATCTCTAAGGCCTTTATACTATGCTTGTTTCTTAATTCTTATAATGGCATGCATGGACAATATCTCTGATGAAGACTTTGAATTAATAGAATTTATATAAATTAATAAAAGTATTAGCGAAGGTGCTGTTCTCAGATTATGAAGGTAAACATGAAGACACGTACCGCAGAAAACAGAAGTCGATATAAATAATCATAATGGATTTGAAATTTAATGAATTAATATAGGGATAGGATTAGGACTTCTTAATTAATTACTGTCAGATAAACGAAAGTCAATATACTGCAGTGGGTTCCTGTTAGGATCTCACTCCCACCAAGTGTGGTACTTAAGCATAGGGGCTTCCACCTATTAGGCCTGTCTTTTGGGTTAGGCTCTCTCTTGGGTTTGAGTTCTAACATTGGTGCTTTTGTTGAGAGTTGGGCTGCGGAAAGGGCTACCTATAGGCTAAATTAAAGTGCAGTGTGCTCTCCTTGTGAAGGGGTGTTGCATCGAATAACTGATAAGTGAGTAAAGCCACCCAAAGGGGAAAGGGTTACCATTGGGTCAGTGTCAATAGAGCGAAAGTCACCGTGGACGTCGGCTCTTGAAGAGGGGTGCAATGTTAGGATCCCACATCGGGATCTCATACCCACCAAGTGCGGTACTTAAGCCTAGGGGCTCTCCCACCTATCAAGCCGGTCTTTTGGATTGGGCTCTCCCTTGGGTTTGAGTTCTAACACTCCCTTTCCTACCGCTAGTGAAATCACACTCCATGGTGAACATTGGTTTTGCTCATTTAATTTCTAATTTGACTTGAAATTGCAGCTTCTTATTCCAAAATGACCATGGCTGGAAATTAGAGTTATTATGATTCTAGAATTGTTGATAAACAAATTTTTACTGGTTGCAGGTTTGGGGAGGTAATCCAGCGAGGTTTTTAAGGAAGCTCACAGAAGAAGAGATGGCCTTCATCTCCCAGTCAGCCTTAAATTATTCCAACTTGGCCCAGGTTCATGCAGCTGAAAATGCAAAGAGCTTTGATGAAATTGAGTTTGAGAAGGCGCTTCGCAAGAAATATGCTCATCGTGATGAGGAGTATGATTCAATGCTTGGTGTTGTTCGTGAAACACCTCAAGAGCTTATCCTTCCTAATAACATTATGCCCGACAAAGTGCCGAAAACGGCTTAAAGGTGATTATCCTGGGTAGGTTTCTTCTCTTGAAATTCAAAGTCACTGGATATTTTGTCAAGTGCTGGATTTATAGGAAATGGGTGCTTTTCTATTCCAATAATTTTTGGGAGCATGCCAAAATGTCAGAGGTCAAATCTCGGTGCATTTCAGGCATAAATGGTTGTGCTCATTCACTTTGGTTTTAGAAACTACATTTTCCTCTTTTGAAGAGAGTATTCTATAATGGAACGTATGTTCTGGGTGTTTTGGTCAGCCAAAACAGTCTAATTTATTTGTACTTTAGAGCGCAATTGCTTTGCATTTGTTTACCAGAAATAAAAGTGCTGATTCAAACATTTGGAGCATGCGATTGGGTGCAGAGAAAGCTTTAGATTTCAATAATGCTATAAAACTGTTATAATGTTACCCTTGTAATTGCCGTTAAAGAACAATCTACCAACCTCAATCATCTTCCCATTTACAGATCCTGCACAAGACATCCAGAAGGATAAATTAAAACAAGACACAGAAATTTTTCTCAAAGAGTTGCCCAATATAAAATTAGTGTTGAGAAACAATTAGTTGAAGTGAAAGCTTTAGAATTCAAGAATGCTATAAAATTGGTGTAATGTTACTCCCGTAATAGTCATTACAATTGGCTGCAGATAAGGCTTTAAAACTCAAGAATGAAATGAAACTAGTTACCCGTGTAATAGCAATTACAATTGGTTGCAGAGAAAGCCGTAAAATTGGCGTAATGTGCTTCTCAACAAAGTGAAGGGGGCAAATACAANTTCTTATTCCAAAATGACCATGGCTGGAAATTAGAGTTATTATGATTCTAGAATTGTTGATAAAACAATTTTTTACTGGTTGCAGGTTTGGGGAGGTAATCCAGCGAGGTTTTTAAGGAAGCTCACAGAAGAAGAGATGGCCTTTATCTCCCAGTCAGCCTTAAATTATTCCAACTTGGCCCAGGTTCATGCAGCTGAAAATGCAAAGAGCTTTGATGAAATTGAGTTTGAGAAGGCGCTTCGCAAGAAATATGCTCATCGTGATGAGGAGTATGATTCAATGCTTGGTGTTGTTCGTGAAACACCTCAAGAGCTTATCCTTCCTAATAACATTATGCCCGACAAAGTGCCGAAAACGGCTTAAAGGTGATTATCCTGGGTAGGTTTCTTCTCTTGAAATTCAAAGTCACTGGATATTTTGTCAAGTGCTGGATTTATAGGAAATGGGTGCTTTTCTATTCCAATAATTTTTGGGAGCATGCCAAAATGTCAGAGGTCAAATCTCGGTGCATTTCAGGCATAAATGGTTGTGCTCATTCACTTTGGTTTTAGAAACTACATTTTCCTCTTTTGAAGAGAGTATTCTATAATGGAACGTATGTTCTGGGTGTTTTGGTCAGCCAAAACAGTCTAATTTATTTGTACTTTAGAGCGCAATTGCTTTGCATTTGTTTACCAGAAATAAAAGTGCTGATTCAAACATTTGGAGCATGCGATTGGGTGCAGAGAAAGCTTTAGATTTCAATAATGCTATAAAACTGTTATAATGTTACCCTTGTAATTGCCGTTAAAGAACAATCTACCAACCTCAATCATCTTCCCATTTACAGATCCTGCACAAGACATCCAGAAGGATAAATTAAAACAAGACACAGAAATTTTTCTCAAAGAGTTGCCCAATATAAAATTAGTGTTGAGAAACAATTAGTTGAAGTGAAAGCTTTAGAATTCAAGAATGCTATAAAATTGGTGTAATGTTACTCCCGTAATAGTCATTACAATTGGCTGCAGATAAGGCTTTAAAACTCAAGAATGAAATGAAACTAGTTACCCGTGTAATAGCAATTACAATTGGTTGCAGAGAAAGCCGTAAAATTGGCGTAATGTGCTTCTCAACAAAGTGAAGGGGGCAAATACAAAGACTATCGTGGAAGGGTAACATTAGCTTAACCAAAGGGCTACTGAGGAAACTTAATGAATATAGATATAAACAGTATATTATCCCAACCGTACACCTTAACTAATCTTTTACGACGCTGAATTAAGATCTTCAATGATTATCCTTATTTAAAATTAAGAGTATCATGTTGAACTTGTTGACTATGTTGGGCCAACCTATTTAAAATTAGAAATACCAACGATAAGCATTACTTTTATGACCAAGCTGATGTCTCTGATTGAGATACGTTTGACAAATAAAATTATTAAATATTCGCCATCAACTACCTACTTCCTTTTTGTTCTTTATCCTCATATAGAGAGACTGGACTATAAAATAATTATCTGACTGAAACACCACTGGTTTTGTAGTTTTTATGATACATGAAATGAAATCAAAATAAGTGGTGCATCTGCTATATGGATTGAATTGAAGGGGTTCTCTTCTCTTCTCTAGTGGATTTATAATTATAATCAAATGAATGATTCAAAATCATAGCTATTAACTATACAGACTATAACTCAACTTGAAGTTTACTTGTCTCTTAATTCCTAATTAATTTAATGATGCCATCTTCATTATTAATGCTTAAAAACAACGATAAATGTAAATGAAGCTAATCTGTACCCAATAATTTGTGCTCCATCTTTTTTTAATCACCCACTACCCAATTTTTCTACGTTTTCACATTTTTAATATGCAGTTCTTTTCAAACCGCCTGTATCTCTTCTGCTTGCAGAAAAAGTTGAGACGTCCCTACTCTTTCCTAGAGTAAATATCAAAAACCAGTGAGTGATGGCAAATTGTATTGTATTGGTATTGGTTGTTGTAGGTAAATTGAGGTTGAGCTTGAGTGATGGTGAAACTTGATGCTTATTCTTGAACAGTCTGAGACAGTGTTGGTTAGCTAGCTTAGACTCAATCATCAGGATCAGGAATATGCTTTTTCACTCAAACACTTAGCTGGGATTCGCGGGCCAACATATTTGTTCTCTATTCTATTCTATATATATATTCTCTCTAATCAAAACATTGACTAATTGAATTATTCCAAAACTATTCATCTATATTAACTCCACCTAACTCTGTTTGTTCCCCAGTTACCCTCTCAATTTGCCAACCCAAATCATCTGCTGCATACATAACACTATTCACGAGCTATAAAATATTTTATGATGATCAGGAAAATTGACTACTGGGCAGGTGCAGTTGCATTTACAGGTTAGCAGACATGCATGTGAAGATTTCAAAATCTCCCCTTCGTATTGTTTGTATAGTGTAGAGAATAGAATAGAGAAGTTCCTTAATAATGTAATGTGTAGTGATTATATATTAAATAAGTGTAAGAATGATTACTTTTTGAGCTTTGAAAACAAGTGACTGACTGACATAAAGTGGCCAACATAAGGGTCCCAGGATTCCAGGCAGGACCTATCTTTTCTTGGTATTGGTAATTGCTATCAGTTTGTACAATCCCCCCTATCCGGATTTCAATTATTTTACTTTCCTCGTAAAAAAATAGATCTTCTAAATCACACAACCGCCCTTTCTCAGAAGTTTTGATGCGAAAACACTATCTTTTTCATCATCGCTTTTGTTAGGTTGACAATGATGGGTCTGGTTGATTTAGTATTTTAGATATTTTTAGAATTAGACGAGAATAACGATTAATAAAAATATCTTTTAAGTTTGTAAATTTACTAAACACTCATTTAATAAAAATAAAAATTACAAAAACACATTCACCTATCCATTAAATACCAACAATTGGCTACCACCATCGGAGGATGGCCGGAGTCACCGTATCGGTGCATGACTAGTTAGATTTGGCCAGTCATGCGCCGAGATGACTTTTTCTAGCCAGATCCACCATGGATCTGATCAGAAAAGGTCAGATCTAGCCATGTTTGATCATCAACGACGGACAAAGATATGATCGTCGTTGACAACTAGCTACGAGATCTAGCCTTTTTCGATCAGATCCACGGTGGATCTGGTCAGAAAATGATAAATCAGCGTACTACCGACCAAATCTAGTCAGTAGTGCGCCATTATACTAGATTCTGACCACCTTCTTGTGGTAGTGGCTGAAATCTGGTAAATGTGGGTGTATGAGGGTGTTTTTGTCAATTTTTAACTTTTTTCGAGGGGTGCTTAGTTAAATTAATAAACTTAAGGGGTTTAAAAAAGTTGAATAGAATATAATAGTATTTCAAAATAGGTAAACAAATTGGTATTTTGGAAATAGTATGAATAAGATAGTGAAAAATATTAAACCAAACACCCGATAATTTTCTCTCACAAATGCACATGTAATAGCTCGTAATTGATGAGTTCGTATTTGGTCAAATGGAACCCATTATTGGGCAAGCGAGCCCTAGCTGACAAATTACGAACTGACATCTCTCATTTATGAGAGAGAGTTAGTGAGTGTAGTATTACTATATAGAAGATTGCAAACATTTTGAATCTTGGCTTTTGTTCTAACAGTTTTAGAGGGACGTTTCTATAAATCTTTGGATTTTGGAATACGATATATCCGTAGGAAAAAGGAAAGCATTTAGTATTTGGTACGTATATAATAGAGTAAACGACCTTTTCCCACCCAAGGTTTGCCTTAATGACCTTTCCCACCCAACAAGTTTCAAAATACCACTTTTCCACCAAAAGTTTATATTTTGTTAATACCCAAAATATACTTCGCTTTCTCAGCTAGTGTTTGGCGAGTTACTAGGAGTCAAGGTGAGAGGGGTTTTGTAAGGTGGAGACCGGTGGATCGAATGGTGATGATCGATTGATTATTCATTGCCGAAATCAGTTAAGAATATAAAACCCTAGTTTTACGATGGTCAGTAATCGATGAGAAATCAAGTGCCGAAATGAGAGGGTTTTTGTAGAGAGGAGACCGGAGGTTCAAATGATGATGACAGAAATAATTTTCGTGGTCAGAATCAACTTTAGATAGTAACAGAATATAAACTTTGAATAGGGAAGCGGTATTTTAAAATTTTTTGGGTGGAAGGGCGTGTACTCTATATAATATATATATTGATTGAGCTATTATTGCTCCGGGGACAAACGCCAAAGAAAGCGAAAGAATAGAGTTGATTGTTTAGCTTAAATTAATAGCATTCGGATTCCAAGAAGCTTGTCTTTAGAGTTATAATATATTGTTTTGTCCAGCTCTGAGAGAAGACAGACAAAAGACAATAGGATTAAGTTAAGAAAATCTTCTAAACAAGGCAAGATGATGGATGTTTGTGATCAAATCCATACAAATTTTTAATCGCATACTCAAATCATTAATTTGAATGTATTCTTCTGTATATGTCTGCTGTCTCTGCTGGCATTTTCAGTACTATAAAATAAACACGAACATACAAGAAAAAACAAGGTGAGTATAAATCTGTGAATGACGAGGTCAAGTCTCAATCGGGATGAGAGTAGTAGTGTGCATGTTATCCACGTTCACCAAAGCCTCTTAACTCTAACCAATGCTCTTGGTGTAATTTTGATAGCAACAGTGGGTCTTCCTTTATTAAATAGTTCGTTGGCTGCAACTACCTTTATTCATGATTTGGGTTTGAAATTAAATAAATATATTGAGAGTTGAATTTTGAATAGACATGGCTACCACCACCATCCCCATGCATCTTTATCATTTCAGTTTTCATTACACACACACTTAATCTCATAATTATGTGAGTTTGTTAGGGAATGTTTTTAGAGTGTTTTCCAAGCAACTATTTATTGTTTCCACATACTGTCTTTCATTATTATACACATTTTCTTTATCAAAACAACCCAATTCATGTAACGTTTACTTATTTCATATCAACCCAAGGAGTCAAATTGAATGACCCATTCAATCTGTAATTGGTTATACAAGAGTTTAGTATTTTATAATACATAACAGAAGTAGGGTGTAGAGGGTACTTGTAACTCTTCCATTATTACTAGCGTATACCACAGCTCATAATTAGTTGCATTTGGAACCACTATTTTGTTGATGCTACATCCTAACATTCCTTAACACAATGGTGAGTTTTATTATTAGAAATAGGCACCTNTTAAATTAATAGCATTCGGATTCCAAGAAGCTTGTCTTTAGAGTAATAATTTATTGTTTTGTCCAGCTCTGAGAGAAGACAGACAAAAGACAATAGGATTAAGTTAAGAAAATCTTCTAAACAAGGCAAGATGATGGATGTTTGGTGATCAAATATCCATACAAATTTTTAATCGCATACTCAAATCATTAATTTGAATGTATTCTTCTGTATATGTCTGCTGTCTCTGCTGGCATTTTCAGTACTATAAAATAAACACGAACATACAAGAAAAAACAAGGTGAGTATAAATCTGTGAATGACGAGGTCAAGTCTCAATCGGGATGAGAGTAGTAGTGTGCATGTTATCCACGTTCACCAAAGCCTCTAACTCTAACCAATGCTGTTGGTGTAATTTTGATAGCAACAGTGGGTCTTTCTTTATTAAATAGTTCGTTGGCTGCAACTACCTTTATTCATGATTTGGGTTTGAAATTAAATAAATATATTGAGAGTTGAATTTTGAATAGACATGGCTACCACCACCATCCCCATGCATCTTTATCATTTCAGTTTTCATTACACACACACTTAATCTCATAATTATGTGAGTTTGTTAGGGAATGTTTTAAGAGTGTTTTCCAAGCAACTATTTATTGTTTCCACATACTGTCTTTCATTATTATACACATTTTCTTTATCAAAACAACCCAATTCATGTAACGTTTACTTATTTCATATCAACCCAAGGAGTCAAATTGAATGACCCATTCAATCTGTAATTGGTTATACAAGAGTTTAGTATTTTATAATACATAACAGAAGTAGGGTGTAGAGGGTACTTGTAACTCTTCCATTATTACTAGCGTATACCACAGCTCATAATTAGTTGCATTTGGAACCACTATTTTGTTGATGCTACATCCTAACATTCCTTAACACAATGGTGAGTTTTATTATTAGAAATAGGCACCTCAACCTCTTCCTTTTTAAACCACACGTTTTTTTTTTTTTTTTTTATATCTATATGGGTGTTTGGGTCAGTTTACGGATACTTCAATTAATTTTTTGAGACCCTGAAATTATCGATTGGGTACAAGTTTTAATGGTTATCCCTATTAATAACATATGGGGACTATGTTAGATATGACACTAAACACGATTCAATCTTTTGAATCCAACACTGCTTAAGTAATTAAGAAAACAAACATTATTGTTTCAATCATTTTATATTTCATTCGTTTCGCAATGGAATTTTGACATTACGAATACCCCCCCACCAAAAGTTATACCCTTAGACATGGTGGCGAAATAACAAAAAGGACGGTGAAGTGTGAACACCTGCTTGTCTCTTGAGTATTGTCCTTATCAACTCAACTCCACCCTTTTAACTCTTGTTTTATCCCCCGCACCCAACCACACTCCTTCCCGCGTGTTTCTGTCCACTCCCTAAGCTACACCTAAATCTCATTTTTTATTTAACTTATTTTGTTTTGAATTTTATATTGTTAAAACATTAACAAACTTTCATGTTTTAGGCTTTCATTTCCCAAATACATATTTCAGCGGGCCCTAATCTTTTTCTACTACAATAATGCAAGTCCTGTTTCGTAATTTCCGTTTTGTTTTAGTTATCATTTTTTTTTTTTGTGTGTTCGCTTTTTCGTCGTCCTGTTTCTGATTCTGCAGAGACTCTGCAGACAGGGGAGAGAGAGAGAGAGAGAGAGAGGGAGAAGTTTAACATAAAACAGAGCTCAAAAAGCAAAAACAAAAACGCAAACACAAACAAACCCTAGAATCTCTCTCCCTTTCATGGAAAAACTCTCACATTCTCGCCAACCAAACAAGTCCTCTGCTTCTCACTCCAAAAAGTCATGCAATGCCACCAACTTACTCACTAAAACTACTTATGACGACGTCTTCGGAGGTCCTCCGAAGTTCGCTGCCCCGACACTCGCTCCGCGAGTCGAGGATTACGGCGAAATTTTCGGTGGCTTCCAAAACTCACGCGCTACCTCTATACCAGTGCTCGATCTTCCATTAGTCGACGAGGAAGACGTCTTCTTTGATGTTCGGAGCTCTGGCTTTGACTATGATGAAGTTTTCGGTGGTTATGATGATCTTGATTCTGCTGTTTCCTTTGAAGAATTGATAATGGAACAAAACGACGGCGTCACTGGTGATGTTGACTCCTCTGAAGAAGCTTGGTAAGTGTTTCAAATTTTTTTTGAGAAATTAAGAAGAATAAAGTTCTTTGCTTTTTTTTTTTTTTTTAATTATTATTATTTGGTTTATTTTTAGTGGAATAAAGAATGTCTAGTTAATGTTTTCTGTTTTTTTGTTAATATTTTCTTTCTCTCTCTGTTCAATGTCTGAACTTGAAGATGAGTGTTAATGCTTTGGACGTTTTCAAGTTAAATATGTGTGCTGCTGTATGTGGTTTTAAGCAAAAACTAGATTCTGTTTTGTTGAGTAAAGTTTTCACTTTGTTAGCCAGGATAAAGGAATTGATTTTTTTGAGGTAGGTTGGCTATAGGGTTCTTTAGGAGAGAAAGATTAACTGAGAGCAGTTTGTTTTTGTTTTCTTATTTTGGTCTGAGTAACTTCTTAGCTTAGCTGCTGGTAAATGTGCTTTGATGATGTGTATGGTTTATTGTTCTGGGAGAAACTTTGGTCCATTTTGGCAAATTTCTGTTATCGATCATGAACATGAAGTATAATAGGCGTTGCTGTTAAGTCTTTTAGATGCTGTATTAATTTCTTCACCCAGGCTCCATAAGAAAAGTAGTGGGTATATGCAGAACATTAAGCGCTAATGTGTATGAAGATAACCCTTTTTTCATTAATTTTTGTTATTTGAATAATTTCATATGTTTTCTTTATGCTGTTGTTGCAAAATTTTTTATCTTGGGTCTTTTGTACTTTTTTGTCTTCATGTTTGTTTGTATCCATTGTATGGATAGTAGTGTGTTTTTCTAAGTAGTGAGCATGAAAGAAACCCTTATGTTGTTGTGAACGAAGCTACAAATTGATGGTATTATGTGTTTGTTTTGGTTATTATAGGACCCCACCGGAAACTGAATCTTTGTCAGAAGAATCAGATCATTCTGGAAAGAATCATAGCTTGTCAAATGGAGATTCTTACGAGTCAATTGATGACACCATGGAGTTCAACATATCCTATCATAAAGCTAATCAAAGAAGTGATGAAGACATGTCAAATGGGATTACGCATGTAACTCAGCTACAAGCAGTTCCAGGATTCACTTTTCTGGTTGAAAAAACCAACCCCTTGGAGAAGGCACATGAAAATCCACCCTTGCAGGTGACTGATGAAAACAATTTTCACATGGATTTTAGTGGGGGAATGATAAAAGATAAAAATCTCAGAAAAACCATGTCACAACCCTTTAGTGGTAGTGCTGGTGAACAGACATTTGAAAATGGCCTTAAATCTCAAAGAGGGTATGGCAGAAACAACTCTCTCCATAACGAAACATTTGTAACTGTTTCTGAAATAAGCCTTAGAACTCAACCTTCTGAAGTGCCACCTCCCCGCCGGCCAGCACCTCTATTAGATGTGAAAAAGGGAGATTCCAGTAGCATGGCTAAAAACTGTAAAACTACTTCAGAAGGGACCGTGGGTGATACTTCTCCTCCTTTCTTTGATGTGGAAGTAGATGCAAGTTCATCTGCTGCAGCTTCTGCTGCTGCTATGAAAGAAGTAATGGAGAAAGCTGAAGCAAGACTGAAGACTGCAAAAGAACTGTTAGAGAGGAAGAGGGTAGGTGTTCAACGCCGTAAGAATGGGAGGAAGGATATGGAAGGAAAGTTGTATGCAAATATCGATGGTTCCAGTTATCTAAAAGATGAGGATTTGTGTGTCACTCTTGAAAGGCAAGACATTGGAATGAAGCAAAAAGGTATCAAGACAACAAAGGCAGTTCCAGATTCTGTAGAAGGAGAAAAGTTTTTCATGTTTGATAAAGGTTTGCTGGATAAGCATGGACAACCTGATAGAATTGATGGAGCTAGTGAGTGGAAAGAAGAAACACAATTTTTTGAATTAGTGAAAACAGATAGATCCACTGTTGAGCAGGCAAAGAGTCAAGAGATTTTGGTGCCAGATACACAAGTTCATGAGCACAGGCCGAAGATAAAAAAGGGGGCAAATAGTGAAGATCCTAAACCGGGAGAAAATGAGAGGAAACTAAAGGTTGCCAAAGAAGCCTGTGAACAGCAGGAAAGAAATGAGAGATCAAGCTCCAAAGCAACTCGCAAGCATAAAGGGCATGATAAGAAGCCAAAAGTGGCTCAAGAAGTTTGTCAACAGGGAGAGAATGGGAAAAAATTTGTAGTGGCTCGAGATTTTATAGATATTGAGAAGAAACCAAGTGGAGCTGATGAATCAGAAAAGCATCTTAACCTAGCCAAGCTTCAGATAAAAGGAAATCCATCTGATTGTCAGAAAGGTATTAAGCATCAAGAGTTTGAGCAACCACTGAAAGAGACTAAGAGAAGTGTGGAAAAAGAAACAAGCTTCAAAGGGTCTTGTGAACGAGCAGATGATGAAAGAAGACAAAGAGAGTCTTTTGAGCAGGTAGAAAATGAGAACAAGTTTAAACAGGATGTTGAACAAGTAGAGTATGAGAAAAGGCTGAAGAAGGCTCTAGAGCAGGAAGAGAAAGATAAGAGAAAGAAGGTTGCTGAGCAGGAAGAAAAAGATAGGAGATTAAAGAAGGTTGCAGAGCAGGAAGAAAAAGATAGGAGATTAAAGAAGGTTGCTGAGCAGGAAGAAAAAGATAAGAGATTAAAGAAGGCTGCTGAGCAGGAAGAAAATGACAAGAAATGGAAGGAAGCTCAGAAAAGAGAAGAAGCTGATAAAAGAGCGAGAGAGGCTCTTGAGCAGATAGAGAATGAGAAGAGACTTAAAGAGGAGAATGAGAAACGAACGCAAGCTTTTGACCGAGAGGAGAAAGCAAGGAGATTAAAAGAGGTTTGTGAACAGGAAGAGAATGAGAAGAAGCAAAGACAGGCTCCTGAAATAGGAGGAAATGAGAAGAGTTTTAAAGAGGCTCCTGAGAAGGAAGAAAATGAAAGAAAACAGGGAGGGGCGTCTGAAAGGGAGGAAACTGAGAAGAGACTTCAAGAGGCTTGTGAAGTAGAGAAGAAGGAAAAGAGGCTTGAAAATGCTGGTGACACTGCAGACCTGAAAGGATTAAGTGAAGCACATGAGCAAACCCAATGGGATGAAAATTGTAAGAAGCTGAAAATGGCTGGAGGGCCTCATTTGTACATGGAGGGAGAAGTTCTCCGTGTATCAGACAAGGCATTTATGCTGAATAACAATGAGAACATTCAAGCAACTCAACCTACTGGCCTACGTGAGGAGAGCAGTAGTACCGTACAAGTAACTCAAAGAACCTTTGTGCATGGAGAAAATGTAAAGATTCAGACCGACTGTAGAGATCATGAAATGGAACTGGAAGTTGAAACCACAAATGTGCTGAAAAACAGAAAATTTGAATTATCTGGTACAGCCCAAGGCAACTTAGAACATGAAGAGTGTGGATTTAAGAAAGAAGATGTTGTAGAGCCACTTTGTAAAGAACAGAATGTAAAAACAGGAGAATCTGGAGGTGGCATTGGAACAGAAAAAACTAATAGCGTCTTCCAAGTAGACTCTGATACTAAAAATGAAGGGAAGAAATTTGCTAATGAACGGAGGGAGAGAGAAAATAATGTCAAGCAGGCCCAAGTTGGCTTGAATCAGAAGGAAAATAAGGACAAATTTATGCCAACTCAACTGGTGAAAGAATCCGTTCAAAATGGAAGGAAACTGGAAGCTGATCAACCATCTGTGTTGGAAGGGAAAGGAAACGTCCAGAAAACAGCTCAGTGGGCAAATGCAATTAAGAGTGCAGAAAGAAAAGAGAAGAATTTCCATGAGACTCTTATATTGGAAGAGAAAGAAGTTGAAAAGTTGAAAAGGGAGAGAGAACTGGAAAAGGAACATCTTAGGAGGATAGAAGAAGAGAGGGAGAGAGAACTGGAAAAGGAACGTCTTAGGAGGATAGAAGAAGAGAGGGAGAGAGAGAGGGAGAGAGAGAAAGATAGGATGGCTGTCGACATAGCAATCCTTGAAGCTCGTGGGAGGGCAGAAAGATCTGCTTTGGAGAGAGCAACTGCCGAAGCTCGACAAAGAGCTTTGGCAGAGGCCCGGGAGAGATTGGAGAAGGCTTGTGCGGAGGCTAAGGAGAAATCATTAGCCGAGAAGGCATCTATGGAGGCCAGACTGAGGGCAGAGCGTGCTGCTGTAGAGAGAGCAACTGCGGAGGCGAGAGAGCGTGCTGTGGAGAAAGCAATGGCAGACAGGGCTGCTTTTGAGGCGAGAGAACGTGGAACTTTTCCAGATAAGTTATCTGCTTCTTCCAGACACAGTACACTGAGACCAATTTCATCCAATGTGAGTATATACTTAATTGATGTTTTGTAGCATGCATAGTCATGGCAGTGTTTTAACTGATGGAAAATGGCAGGATCTACAGGATCAGAAATATCAGAGTGCCAACTTTAGTGGTTCAAGATATCCATATTCCTCAGCTTATGTTGGTATGTAATCTTTGAAGTACCAGGTGTTGGTTTCTTGTAGATGGGATATTTAAGTGAATGAATATTTTAAAATTTTTATTATGTTCTGCTTGTTGCTTCTAACCATTATCTTTTCTACTTGAAGCTTCATATAATACTGAGAGATCTGAAGGGACTGAATGTGAAACAGCTCAGAGGTGTAAAGCTAGACTAGAAAGGCATCGCCGTACAGCTGAACGTGCGGTATGACTTCTAATTTTATCAAAATTTGTGAATGCCTTCTCCATTTCTTACAAACTTCTTGCTTCTGGTGTTTTTGTAGGCAAAAGCTCTTGCAGAGAAGAATATGCGTGATCTTCTTGCTCAAAGAGAGCAAGCTGAAAGAAATGTAAAACCTTCACTCCACTAAAAAATATTTCTCAAACTCTGAACTAGTGCCATATTTTGCTTATTGTCTTCAATTTATTTCCGTTTGCAGAGACTAGCAGAAACACTGGATGCTGATGTCAAGAGGTGGTCAAGCGGAAAGGAAGGCAACCTACGAGCTTTGCTTTCAACATTGCAATATGTATGTGTTATTCATATCAAATGTTTCATGCACAAGCTTCAATTCTGGTTTTCCTTTAGTGCCACTATATTATTTAACGGAAGGAAAAAAATCCTCAATCTCTATCTTTGATCTTAGTATTTTGTGAAATAAATGAATGTATAAATTACCAAACCTTTTCTATTCGGAGTTTTTGTAAAAATCAATCTGTGCTAGCATCTGAATTAACCAAGTTTTATTCCTTGGCAGATCCTTGGGCCTGATAGTGGTTGGCATCCCATTCCATTGACTGAAGTTATAACTTCTGCTGCTGTAAAGAAAGCTTACAGGAAAGCCACTCTTTGCGTTCACCCTGACAAATTACAACAAAGAGGTGCAAGTATCCAGCAGAAGTACATTTGCGAGAAGGTCTTTGATCTTCTCAAGGTGTGTTATACTGTTACAGTTGCAGTTTTGCCCTCTTTGAATGTTGCTTTTATGACCTGTCGGTATCTAAATTTTTCTTTAATTGTTAATTTTCAGGAAGCTTGGAACAAATTCAACTCAGAAGAGCGGTAGGTCAAACTTAGTGTATATGCTGAACGCATATTTACACTCATCCTGTAAATTTATGCTGCTTGTAAGTAATATCGATCATGTCTATTTGATAATTCTAGTCATCTATGTAGTTGGTAAATCTAGGCTAAGCTAAGCTAAGCTTAAAGAAATAGGTATGAAACAGATATTAGCTAAAAGAAAATGGCTATATTCATTCAAATATATGGGCTATTTATTTATTCTGCTAATCTACCATGAATAGAGTATATTTCAATGATGATTTACAAAACAAAGAAAAAAAAAAAAAAAAGCAGGTATTGGATATTTGAATTTTGGGTGGTAGAAATTGTTGTTTAATGGATAAAGGGCAGATACCCTCTTGCTAAATCAGTCTCATTTAGCTAAAGAGAAAAAGTAAAAGGTGGAAGTTGGAAACTTTGTCTTTTTTTTTAGCGCAATTAAATCAACTCATGGAGACAGCTTGCAAAAGAAATCTTGCTATCAAATCTTAGTCAGAATTAGCAGGCACTAATTCTGGAGTGCCGGCGTGATTAGCTTAGGAAAGATGATCCAAGTTCTGGGACTAGCATTGCTTTCTAATTAAGTAATGAGCTTTTTCTTTTTTGTTAAAATATAACCAATATGTATTTTGAGCCTAATATTTTCATCTTTTTAGGGGGGGGCAGGATGATTATAGCGCTTATGGGGTAGTATTATGAAAGCCTGCTAATTTATGGTAATTATTATGAAAAACCTCCACCAGTCATCAATGGCCTATAACATGAGTTGCTATAATGCTGTAAAATCAATGATGAACGCTTTTCCTGGCATTATTTGTCAATGTTTTTGTGAAAAGATAGATATTGCAGGAAATATGTACAGTCATAGTTTTGTTCATTCATTCAGATATGTATATGCCCACTCATATGGGGTAATCGCATGAATAATACTTTTTTGTATTTAAGGTTCAAATTTCAAATTTTGTACTGCAGGTGATGTGATATTGATATAAACAATCATGAAATGATATAATAGCGTAAAAATTTTCTCAAGATTAAAAGCGTAGATTGACAGGAACCGTGTTTAAGAATGGCAAGAACTAAATAAATAAAATCTATCTAAATTAATGTTTTCCACATGTACTATACTTCATAGGTTAAAGAAATAAGAAGTAAAGGATTTCACACCTAATCTTTGTTGGCATGACTTAAAGGGATTATTATGCTTCTAAATTCATAGGTGTTGAATTTCTGGATTCATTAATTTCATTACCATTTGCTCGTTAACTTTATGAACACTCAAAATCTCAATAATTTCTCAAATATAGGATCCGTTTAATGTGAATTCAAATGCAAATGATGACCATATTAAACATATAGGTAAATCCTTTAATTCCTTTTCTATTTTCGGAAAGACAAGATTAAATCAAGACAAAACATCCCATTATCCAAGGAAGGTTAATTTAACAAGAGCTATAAATTTATTTATACAAATTAATGTGATAGAAATAAATTTTGTTAAGTATATCCTAAATATTCATTCAATAAGTCTTTAATATGAACACGTAAACTTATTTAATGAATTTGGATCTTCTCCTGGTGGATTGTAATTGTTAGATGATATAATTGTTATGTTTTTTAAATTGATTGTAATCGTTAGATGATATAATTGTTATATTTTTTTTTAAATGACCGGAGGTGTTCAGAACTGTTTACATGTATCTCAATTAATCTCATGAGACTCTGAAACTACTGGTCGGATAAGAACTCTAATGACCACCTTTATTAACAACCGAGAAAGGATTTGAACTTAAAACCTTTTAAGTAATATACCCAAAAACTTTATCATACCATTTGACCATTCAAGGGTGGGTTATTGTTATGTATCTTTAAATCCTTCAAAGATTAGGTTAAATGAAGTATTATTTTTATAATAATTTTGCTAGGTAAAGCCCCTATATTTTAATTTTTATAAGAATAGATTACAACACGGTATAACTGTCATGTCTTCCAAGTCCTTCAATAATTAGGTCAAAATAACATGATCCAAATCCATTAGAAATACTATTTAAAGTTTTACGGGGTAACCTGAGACCCAACCTTCCATGAATCATGATCCGCTTAATTCGTTACCGAATGTTCCCCACCAAAACCCCCAGTACTTGCGACTCAAATGTAAATGTAACACACCTCCAAAAACGCAACGTATATACTCACCACTCGTTTGATGAAATTCCTTACAGAGACCTCCGCTCCCTCAACTCCCAACTTGCTTCATATGTCCGCACCAACAATTTTCTTTCCACATGGACTCTATTTTGTCACATGCATTGCGCATGCCTTAACCTTGATGCTTATACTTTCACGCCAGTTTTGGGCGCTTGTTCTTCTTTGCCTGGACCAGAACGCGGCAAACAAGTCCATGGTTTAATGATCAAAACTGGTTCAGATACTGGAACTGTGTCCAAGACTGCGCTGATGGACATGTATTCCAAGTTTGGGTTCTTGAATGAATCGGTTAGAGTTTTTGAAGAGATGGAGTTTAAGGATGTTGTCACGTGGAATGCTTTGCTTTCTAGCTTCTTAAGGCACGGTCTTGCTAAGGAAGCGTTTGATGTTTTTGAGGCAATGAGAAGGGAAAGAGTTGAGGTTAGTGAGTTTACTTTAACTGCTGTTCTTAAGGCTTGTGCTTCTTTGAAGGCATTTGAACAAGGGAAACAGGTGCATAGTTGGGCTGTTGTGTTAGGTTGGGATATGGTGGTTTTGGGTACTGCACTTATTGATTTCTACTCGGTTGTAGGATGTATTAGTGATGCCATGAAAGTGTTCTATAGTTTTGATGGTAGAGTGGATGATGTTATGAGAAATTCCTTAATTTCTGGATGTTTTCGAAATAGGAAGTATGAAGAGGCGTTTTCGATTATCAGTACAATGAGACTAAATGTGGTTGCACTTACTAGTGCTCTTTCTGCTTGCTCTGAGAACTCAGATTTGTGGATGGGGAAGCAGTTCCACTGTTTGGCTATTCGTTTTGGGTTTACTTCTTATACCCAACTATGCAATGTCCTGCTAGACATGTATGCAAAATGTGGTAAAATATCGGATGCTGGGTCCCTATTTGATAGAATTTGTCGGAAAGATGTTGTTTCTTGGACAAGCATGATAGATGCATACGGCAGTCATGGGCATGGGCTTGAAGCTCTTAAATTGTTCAAAAAGATGGGTGAAGAAGGAAGTGGGGTTTCGCCAAATTCTGTGACCTTTCTTGTTGTTTTATCAGCTTGTGCACATTCTGGATTGGTGGAGCAGGGCCGAGAATGTTTTAATTTGATGAGGGAGAAGTATGGTTTGAATCCGGGTCCAGAACATTATGTCTGCTTCATAGACACTTTAGGCCGGGCTGGTCAAATAGAAGAAGTATGGTGTTTGTTCAATGATATGGTCAAGAATGGTACCAAGATCACACCTGCTGTATGGGGAGCGCTAGTAAATGCTTGCAGTTATAGTTTAGATGTCACAAGGGGAGAGTTTGCAGCAAAGCATCTCTTAGAATTAGAGCCAGATGTGCCTGCGTATATCGTGCTGCTTTCAAATTTCTATGCAACCATTGGAAAGTGGGAAACTGCAGAACACTTAAGAAGCAGTATGAGAAAGATAGGATCGCCTAAGGTAGTAGGGAGTAGCTGGGTCAGTTGAAAACTTATTTAATGAATTTGGAACTTCTCTTGGTGGATTGTAATCGATGATATAATTGTTATGTTTTTTTTTTTTAAATGATTGGGGTATTCGGATCAGTTTATGTGTACTTAAACTAATTTCTCGAGACCTTAAAACTATTAATCGGGTAAAAACTTAAATGACCACCTTTATTAGTAACCAAGAAATGATTTGAACTTAAAACCTCTTAAGTAATACATCTAAGAGATTTTATCAAACCATTTGATCACCCAGGTTTGGTTATTATTATGTATCTCCAAATCCTTCAAAGATCAGGTTAAATAAAATATTATTTTTATGATAATTTTGCTAGGTAAAACCCTATATTTTAAGGACGAAATGATATGCATTCATTCATAGTTTGCCGAAAAGACAATTTGATCCTCGAAAAGTTTGAAAATGACCATTATTCACTTTCTGTCCAAATCTGTTAGTAAAATCTGCTTAACTAAGGGCAATATACTGATTTTATATCCACCCAAAAATTAAACTTCAATATTCAACATTAATTTTAAATTAATCCATAAATCCCTAATTTTTTTATTTCATTTTTCTCCTCTCCCGTCTTCTTCTTCATCTCTCCCTCCTCTTTCTTACCTTTCTTCTTTGTCTTTTCCCTCCTCCCTTTCGCTTTTTTTCCTTTCTTCTCTGTCTTTTCCCTCCTCCCCTTCTCTTTATTCCTTTTCTTCTCCCTCTTTTCCATTCTCTTTCTTTCCTTTCTTCTCCGTCTTTTCCCTCCTCCCCTTCTCTTTTTTCCTTTTGTTCTCTGTCTTTAGTTTTCCTTTTAATGTATAGAGTCCAGTTTGCAGAGCAATAATGGTGCAGAAGAAGGGTTTGCAGCTTTTGGAGAGGATGACGACACTGGAGGATCTATTTCAAGGAATAATATTTAATTTTCTCCTCTTTTCTTTCGCTAATATCATCTCGGCAAACTGTCTTTAATCAGTTCATTTAAATTCGGTCAGATTTTTCATTAGTTAGGCATTTTAAATTGAAAAACAATACGGTCAGCGGTATTACACTAAATTTGTACGCTGAATGACATGATAAAATCTTGACTATTAATTAATTTTAACTTAATATTAATCAACAGTTAAGATTTTATCACGTCATTCGGTATATTATCATCGATGATTGTAACATTATTCTTTTAAATTTGTATTTTTAGGAATATTTCTTGCATTCATAATGCTTTTGTGTTGAAGAAAGATTCTGTAATAATTTCTGAATGTGTAAATTGCATCATCTTTTAGTTAATTTCTTGTTGAATTAAAATAGAAGAAAAGGAAAAACAACAATGCTATAGATACTGGGGTTTTTACACCAAAATTTTGTACCGGCTTACGTGTCTGCTGACTGAGATCATTCAACACATTTGACGTTATTAAATTTTTTCTAATGAACGGTCATCCAAAACATATGGCGATCGTTCATTAACATAGACTTCCGTCCATATTATATGGACGAGGGTCTATTTACTACGAACAAGCATCCTCATTCAAAGGACGCCTATCCATTGGTAAATGAAATAA